GAATAGAACTATCTAAAGCCCGCCTGCTGTGGTGTAATGATGTTTTCACTTTCAATGTACCACTGTAGTCTGAGGTTGGTGATGCGCTCCATTGTTTTACAGAGACAACTTGTGAGGCTGATTGGTCTGTAGTTGGAGGCATTAGAACTGTCTTTCCCAGGCTTTATGAGGGGTATCATAATTGCCTCTCTCCAGATCTGTGGAACATTCCCTGTTGCCCAGCAAGCATTAAATATCTGTAAAAGCTTTGTTGTGGCTACTTTTCCTAAGTTTCTGATCATTTCGTTTGATATACCATCTGCTCCTGGTGACTTCCGCATTTTCAGCTTTGAAATGGCCAACTCCAGTTCATTAAGTGTAATTGGCACCTCTAGCGCCTCTGATGTTATTTCTTTCTGACTTCTAAATTGTGTCTTTTCTTGAATTTCGTGTTTTTTCTCTGAACTGATTTCAATGTCGTTATCTAAAGCAACAGTGTCCGCAAATAGGTTGGCTGCCTCTTTTCCTGTGACCATGTTTCCATCTTTCTGCAGCGTGATCTTTGAGTTCCACCCTGTGTCCTCATCATTAATTTGTTTCACAAGCTTCCATAACTTTCTTGTGTCTTTTTCAAAGTTCAGCGACCTTGTTTTCTCCTGCCAGCTTTCCCTTCTAACCTGCAGCCTTGCCCTTACAAATTTTGCTTTTGCATGCTGGTAGTTATTGTGATGTTCTTGGTTTGGCCTGGTCTCTGCTATCTTTCTGAATGTTTCTACTTCGTTATGTAAATTTTCTAGCACATTACTCCAGTATGGCTTATAATGCTTACGGGCACCTCTTGGTATTGATTCTCCTGCTGCCTTTAGTACGCATTTGTTAAATTCTTTAACTACTTTGTTTATATCCTGGTCTACGCTGAGACTTCCAAGCAGTATACTGGTACGGTGCTTGAACATTGTCCAGTCAGCCTTCTTGTAGTTCCACCTTGGCAGCGTACTAGTTTCTCTGACCTTCTCATTTTCTACATTCAGGAAGACCGGTCGATGGTCACTGCCTCCCAGTTGATTTCCAACAACTCGTTTAATGTTCCATTCCAGATCTGGAGAGTGAAATGCTAGGTCTGGGGTAGTAGTGGTGTGCCACGACCTCGAGTAGAATGTGGGTGGATCAGTTGGCCTATTTATAAGAACATATCTAATACGCCTGAAGGAGTGCACAAGGGTCCTTTTAAAATAGGACACCCTGCTATTGACATTTGTAAATATCCTGGCTGGAAATTGCCAGGATCCCATTGATTACGTTCTAATTTGTCAACATAATTTGGAATAAAAATTGAACTAATGAAAACTCGGAGATAAATCTCGTAAATTTAATCCACGTGACCTTCAAAGCGTTATGTGTTGTATATTTCTCTTTCGTGCTGGCGATTCACTGGCTTCAAGAAATAGAGAGCCGTGCAAATCTGTCTTTGGTTTTTACTGTTACAACAGTATGTTGAGTTAAGACATTACTTGGAGTAACGGAAGAAAAACCCAGTAATCATTATCCATGATTTTGTCTGTTTTACTGCTAATCTTTTTGTCTCAAATGTTCAGAGAAATAATAATTTTAAGAGAGTGTCTTGAAGTCAGTTACCATGAAAGAAAAAAAGAGCACAGGCCATTTTTCTGAAGTCCACAGACTGAAGACTCTATCATCGTATCCTATATTGCAATAACAAGCCAGTGCTGATATTTCATAAGTCAATACATGCTTACTGAGTTGGTTGGCACCGTTATGTCTTTTTAGACAATGGTGGTATTGTGTACTATAAGGAGGCATAGGAATAAAAAACTATGACGATGGCGAGTGTAACTAGCAAGACCCGACCGCGTTTAGAAATACAATTAGAGCGTGACCCGTGTTGCCATCGAATAAATTTCTCAGAGACTTAGCTATCAATGGTTTTGAAGTTGTTTTTTTTTTTTTTTTTTTTCTGAAGTGCATCCTTTACCCCCCACCCCCCCCCCCCCCCCCCCTTTTTCCCCCTTCGTTTTTCATTCATACTATCAATGGCATTTAATTGCCTAGAATATACACCAATAACTGTTTCATTCATATCACACCTGAACTAATCTTTACAAAGTTGTAAAGGCTGGCTTCGACATCTTCTACCCATATGTAGTTCATCATTACTGGACCCAAACATCCTCTGTTCTCCAAGCGTACCCGGCCTCATGTCCTACGGGAGTCATGTGATCAGTATCACATCGGCCGCCTATTCTTCTCCAGTGCTTTTTCCTAGTATCCACTTTAGACAGCTCAACGTTAAGACCGCACATCAAATTTAGTAACCAATCTCCATGGCGCCTCTAACAACAGTACAGCAAGGCAAGCCAGCAACACAATACTTACCATTAAAGCCAGTATGATAGGGATGGCTAGAATCAGAACTAACGGATTTTGGGCAAAACCTTTCCAGCATTCCACCTGATAGTAGTGCTGCATCAGACCAGCCCAGACAGTTGTTATGATCAAAGGGATGCCTGAAACAAGATTGTGTATTTATTGTGTCATTGGGCACTTACAATCTCATACATATAAATTCTCACATGCCCATGAACTCTAAGAATTATAAATAATTTACTGACATTTGAAACAGGGCCCAGGTAATCGATAAATGAAACAATACGCGGAGAGCAGCGCGTCTTTCTGTTAACGTCCTTAAAGGTGGCCTTATTGCAGATACTGTCAGTTGCCAGCTATGACATAGGGGTTCGGTCATTCTTAAGTTACTCTGGATATGTCCCTCGGCGTCTGTGGCTTAGGCGTTGCCGTGGTGCCAGTTCTATCCCAGCTGCAGTCGATTTGTTAGCAGACCGCCTTGCGTTGATTTCGCAGTGGTATCGTGAGCCAGCCATTCAGAGGGCAATGGCAAACCACTCAACTTCAATTTACCTAGAAAATCACAACAACTAAGAATGCTGGGGCGGGTTCTGCAAAAGACACACTGTTTAGTCAGGATCCGTCTATAGTCAATGAAACAGACCCCTCTTTTTTTTTCATTTTCAACATATACGACAGCGTCCACCAGTTAATTGACCATTTCTGTGCTGGTTGACAAAACGTTTGTTTTAATTTCACTCTTTAGCTTCCTGCTCCATGTTGTTGTTGTTGTCTTCCTTTGTGTCTATACTCCTTGAAGTTCAACAGAACTGATCGGACATTAGAATTATACATTTTAACTGTTCATTAGTTTTTATTTCTTTTGACCTTTCAATGTTCCCTAATGCTATTAAAACTCATTGTTGTAAAAATCAGTTTAAAAAAAAAATTTCTATCACCTTTGTAGGAGGACGTAGGGCCACTATGTTAGTACATGCGCAAACTAGTCAGTTTTTCCAGAGGATTTTAGTTGGTTTTTTTTTTTTTTTTTGTAACTGACAGTAGCTTTGAGGTAGACCAAGGCTAAAATGTATTTCTAGTAAAATGTAAGGGGAAAAAAGCATTTGGATTAATGTTACCCACATAATCACAAAGTGCTGACCGGTCTAAAATTATGAGAAATAGAGCATATGTTAAGTTTAAAATCTGGTCTTGTCACCCCATGTGTGTGGTCTTTTTTAAAATTTTGTTTACACCTTAACATATATTTATCAAAGGCTACATGCATCCACAATCCAGGAAGGCTAGCCAGATCAAAAAAATACCTGAAGAAGTCGGATATGTCGGCTGAATGGTGCAAATATCGCAACCATGCTGTAAACATGAACAACGCGATTACGTCTTCGGATGAACGCAGAAGACAAAAAATAATCACTTAAAACAATATATATATATATATATATATATATATATATATATATATATATATATATATATATATATATATATACACATATACATACATATATATTTATATACATATATATTTTTGTTCTGTTTTCAGTGACAGTACAACTACTATTTGCAGCTTTATGAAGGTGTCTCTCACATATCTGACAACATTTGCAGATCAATGTTATAATGTCGAACTATCAAGTAAAAGTGTGTGTCTATGCTTACCCCAGCCAATGAAGTAGAATAACTTAAAGGGAGCTGCCGAGGGAAACACCGTAACCACCAGCCTGTTGTGGAGATAGATGCCCTCCACTAACATCCACGCAAAGTTGGACATCTGGAAGTAATGGTAGAGTGCCTGAAACGACTTGCACAGCCAGTCCTGGGAAATGGATCACAGTAAAGACCTCTGTTACGGAATATATTACGAGTAAATGTTTTATTATAAATAAATATATATATATATATATATATAATATATATATATATATATATTATATATATATATATAATTATATATATTAGACAACACGGCAACTTTCATCAAAATAATACGTACACGTGCAATCTATTTTTTATTCAACTTTTGTCAAATTATTGTTATTGATCACTGTACAAAATTCTTTCAGGAAAAATAATGCTGTGTAGCAAATAAACCTATATGACTAGCAAACACATCTAGTTGTTGAGAAACTGCCTTTTGCCTGCTCTTCTGAATGATTGAGGATGGCGAGCGCTTATAAAAATGGGAAGAAACTGAAAAGAACCAATATTTAACTTTTCAGAAGGAGTTTGAGATTATCATGGACAAGTGAGAAAGCGAACGTAAAATACTGAAATCAACATGTAATAGTAATTCGACAAAATTAATTCATGTGATACAAGAATTAAACTGTATATGTTTTTGCTGTATATTTTGCACGTACCTACAACTTACACCTAACCACCTCTTATCAACCCCCCCCCCCCCCTCCTCCTCCCCCACCATTTTTAATCTGCTAAAAGACTTTAAGTGGATATTTAAACGGGGATGATAATTTAAAGTGTGTGTGTGTGTGTGTGTGTTTGTGAATGCGTGTGTCCTATATGGATGCAAATTTTTATTTCTTTTTATAAAGTAAGTGTTCGTGCATTTCCATTACAAATACATGGTTTTCCGCTGTTATTTATAGTTTACTTTGTCAAATCGGCAGTCAACTCACCAAGTCTCGATACGACGGTCCTATACCAATGATGTGCGGTTGAAGTAGCACCATCACCAACACAAACCGGAAAATGAAAGACCCAACCAAGTTTTTGTGAATGGAGTTCCGGCTGCATTGTAATGATCTGTGGAAAAAAAGTCTACATAAAACCATATTATCTGTATATTCGTGACCATTGAACGGTTTACATTTGTGTTTTCTTGTCCAACGTATTGTTTTCTTACATCAGTTTCCGCTGTTGCATCCAAAGGCATGTCAACCATGATGACGATAGGATGTGAGCTAGAAGACAATTTGTTACTTGTTGTCCCTAATGACATCCTAGCACATCGGTCCGACCCATTCGTGCTCCCCTGCGGCAGCCATCTCTGTGTATCCATGAAGAACGTAGTCAGTAAAAGCTGAAAAGCAAACATTGTTTTTACCCTCAGCCGGTTTAAGCATGGTGATCCTGGTTCAGTACCCATTTTCCATTTCTTGTCTCGTTTGTCTCAACGTTTCTTGAATGGAGCGCGTTTAACATGTATGCCCTGTCAATGCTTCAGTGCTTTATTAATATCCTACCCCAAACAGGGGAAGTCCTCAGGCCACAGGACAGTCTAATAGTGCAGAGAGTGGTAGATATGCTGCAGGCAGTCGTGGGACCTAGGCTGCATGCAGTCGTGGAACCTAGGTTGCATGCAGCCCTGGGACCTAGGATGCATGCAGTCGTGGGACCTAGGTTGCATGCAGTCGTGAGACCTAGATTGAATGCAGTGGGACCTAGGCTGCATGCAGTCGCGGGACCTAGGTTGCATGCAGTCGTGGGACCTAGGTTGCATGCAGTCGTGGGACCTAGGTTGCATTCAGTCGTGGGACCTAAGTTGCATGCATTCGTGGGACCTAGTGGGACCGAGGCTGCATGCAGTCGTGGGACCTAGGTTGCATGCGGTTGCGTGACATAGGCTGCATGCAGTCGTGGGACCTAGTTGCATGCAGTCGTGGGATCTTGGTTGCATGCAGTCGTGGGACCTAGGCTGCATGCAGTTGTGGGACCTAGGTTGCATGCAGTCGTGGGACCTAGGTTGCATGCAGTCGTGTGACCTAGGTTGCATGCAGTGGTGGGACCTAGGTTGCAGGCAGTCGTGGGACCTAGGTTGCATGCAGTCGTGGGCCCTAGGCTGCATGCAGTCGTGGGACCTAGGCTAGATGCAGTCGTGTTACCTAGGCTGCATGCAGTCGTGAGACCTAGGCTGCATACAGACGTGGGACCTAGGTTGCATGCAGTGGTGGGACATAGATTGCATGCAGTCGTGGGACCTAGGCTGCATGCAGTCGTGGGACCTAGATTGCATGCAGTAGTGGGACCTAGGTTGCATGCAGTCGTGGGACCTAGGCTGCATGCAGTCATGGGACCTAGGCTGCATGCAGTCGTGGGAGCTAGGCTGCATGCAGTCGTGGGACCTAGGCTGCATGCAGTCGTGGGACCTAGGCTGCATGCAGTCGTGGGACCTATGCTGCATGCAGTCGTGGGACCTAGGCTGCATGCAGTCGTGGGACCTAGGCTGCATACAGTCGTGGGACCTAGGTTGCATGCAGTGGTGGGACCTAGGTTGCATGCAATCGTGGGACCTAGGTTGCATGCAGTCGTGGGACCTAGGTTGCATGCAGTCGTGAGACCTAGGCTGCATTCAGTCATGGGACCTAGGTTGCATGCAGTGGTGGGACCTAGGTTGCATGCAGTCGTGGGACCTAGGTTGCATGCAGTCGTGGGACCTAGGTTGCATGCAGTCGTGGGACCTAGGTTGCATGCAGTCGTGGGACCTAGGCTGTATGCAGTCGTGTGTCTTAGGCTGCATGCAGTCGTGGGACCTAGGTTGCCCTCGCTGTGGGACGTAAGGTGGGGGAGGGGGAGTTGCTGTTAGGGCCAGTTCTATATGTTTTGGGGCCTTTTAAAGTATCAGACCGGGAACCTAGACTTACCTCCCTCTAAAATGTTGGACTGTCTTGTGACTTTATCTACGGTAGTATATTAATAAGGCACACATGCTTTTTCCTTAATTAAATCATTGCAAAGACAGCCAGTCTGTCGGAGCTTTAATTTCATTTGACCCCGGCGTGTCCTACTCTGTACAGCTGAGGCAGTTTCGTTAGGCTATCCTGTCTATCTAATGGTTTACGTTGTTGTTTCTTGTCTAATGTTTCCTAAACAATTCATTACATGTTATTGCTGTTGCACCCAAAGTCATCCCATCCAGGATAACAATACAATGTAAGCAAGAAGATATTTTTTACTTGTCATCTGTCGTCCGTATCGACTTCTTCTGGAGTTTGTCAACAAATTCTAGTCTTCGTTTTTCATTAGGATCTTGAGCACAAAGCTGCCAGGTCCTAATACTATTTGGAAACAGCGTATAGCCCAGGCCATCATACCGATGCAGAATCAATTAAAGGGTGTTTCATGATCTATCTGTGTCTTGTTTTCATTAATAGTTTCCCTGGCACAGCATTTGTTGATTTATGTTCTCCTAAATTGTGACGAAAAACGAAGGGCTGCCTCTTGATGCTCTCTCTGCAGCCAGTTATAAAACATACAACGGTTCAAGTAATGGAGGGGCAAAATCAGTTATCAAAATTGAAGGAAAAAAGTACAATTATGGGTTAGTATTGAGAGATGTTCTATTTTATTTTGTCTGTGTGTTAACTACCCATGTCAGAGTTCTTCGCTGACAGCTTTAACTTGGCTCATACATCATAGTCCCGGCCGGTCTAGTTGCCGGCTAAGTAATCTGGTCTAGACCACAGAATGTCCCAGACTCTATCAGTGACTTCATACAGGCCTATCTTTTCTCTTTATGGTAAATAGTTTGATAGAATCGTTTACTCAGGATAGAAATAGGTTAGTAATAACCGCATTCCTAAGTACAGTATCAGTCTATCCATTAATTCATCTGTTAAGAAAGCCAGCGATACATCCATCTATCGAGTTATTCCTCTGTTCGTCAATCTTTCTATCACTCTGTTTTTTTTTTTTTGTGTGTACGTCAGTAGCTTTGCACCTCTGTTATCGTTGATGTTCTTGTTGTCTGTTTAATAATATCACAGGATTTATAAAGCTTCTCACTGATGTCTTTCTAACACTCTCTCGCTCTCATTCTCTCTCTCTCAATATATATATATATATATATATATATATATATATATATATATATATATATATATATATAAAAGCACACACACTTTACATAGAAACACTAAAACTCATATATATATATATATTATTATATATATATATATATATATATATATATATATATATATATATAAAATATATGTATATATATATATATATATATATATATATATATATAAATAAAACTGCACTACTAAGTCTTGAGGATAAACAATGTCACTCACCTGAAATATGAGAATATAAACAAAGCGATGAGCAGAAAGGCGAGTGACATACTTGTGGTGATAATCATGATATCCTTTAATACATGCACCAGTCGCACCTAAAGACAGGGATATATATAATCTGACATTGGATCAGCGGACAAGACAATTATCTTTTTTGTTTAGGTGTCACTTCTTACAGCAATCCACTTCTTGAAATCCAATATATGAGCAATTTCTACTAGCACACCTGTTTGCTGAATTTACCTTGAAGCACAACTTTATGCTGTTTAATTCCCCTCTACAGTCAAACAGAGGAGCTGCGATGTTTATCGTCTGCATTTGCTGATTTATGCTGTAAAGCTGGACTAACAATAAGCAGAAAAAATGACAAAGATTGTGGTGCAAGGAGTTAATGATAGACACACCTTAACAATGAAGAGCCGGAGACAACTGACTATTTTATTTTTCTGGGATCCTGGGTGGATAACAAACCATCGCCGGCCAAAGAAATCAACATCAGAATAGACTAGCAGCAACAACAAATAGCAGATTAACACAATGTGTTTGAGAAAACAAAAAGCTCACCATTAAAACAATTATTCTTGTCTATCAAACTTGTTTTCCAAGCACTCTGCCATATGGCAGTGAAACTTGGTCAACTTGTTCGCACAATGAAAAACGGCTAAATAGCTGACACATGCGATGATTAAGAAAAATACCTGACATTAAAAGGCAGGACAAGATCACAAACACTGAGGTATTTAAAATAGCAGGTATTACAATAGTTTTTTTTTTTTTTTTTTCAATGCTCAGTCAACGAAGGCTCGAGTGGCCGGGAATGGAGTGTGGCTGAATTCCTAAGGACATTCTCTATGGTGAATTCAAGATGGGTGGAAGATATTGAAGCCGACCTCTACTACGATATAAAGATGTGAAAAAGAGGGACACATATGATACAGGTATTGAGGTAGACTCATAATAACAAAATGCCATATTCCGTTTTTTGTGGAGGGGGCACATGATGAAGAGAAAGAGAATGAAGAAAGAAAGGACGAGAGTCTGAGAAGAAACACAGTTATCACAAATGTTGACAACCACGGTCCTGAAATCCCAGACTATACTTAGGGAAGACTTTTTAAAATGCAACCGGTCTTGCTGGTCACACTCGCCATCGCCATGGGTTTTGAGTCCTATGCATCATCATAACACAATATAACACTATTGCCTTGGAAAGACGGAAAAGTGCCAATGTGCAAAAACAGTCAATCCAGCATGTGGTAAGCATTAGCAAATGTCACAGGAATTAAACCGGGCAGGGATGTTAATTATAAAACCACCAGTAGTCTATCAACATTTTCATCAGTTAAACAGGTCCGAAGTCTCTGAAAGGGTTCTTTAAGTTACCAGTAAAATACAATACACCAAAACCTCGCAGTGTTGAAGTGGAAACTGAATAGGTGCTTTGAATAAAAGTTACTTTTCCCTTTCTTTCGCAAAGTTAGAAGACTGACATAATCAAACACAGCCTCTGATTGGAGAATACATATTATGGGGGTTGAGGTGGGGGGGGGGGTGGGGGGGGAGTAAATAATCCTTTCCCACGCCTCCAGACGCACTTAGCATATAGGGATAGACCTATATTTTACAGATCAATTAAAAACTCGGTTGGTGAATTAGTTAACACCACGCAGGTCGTCTTTAGTTCCCATGACTATACCTGGTACCCATAAATATGTAAGGCTGGTTACACCTGGGAGCCACCGTAATTTTTACCCCCCCCCCCCCCCCCAAAAAAAAAAAGTCCGGCTCCCTCAGGATCCAAACCTCGCCACCTTCCGATTCGTAGGCGAGCTCCCAGTCTCTACACCGAGGCTATATACATAACTTGTAGTAAGTCATGTACATTCAGTATCATAAACTGAACATGTCATGGTATGTCCAACGTCACTTGATGTGCGAAAGCCAGTCTTGAAAAGCAAAAGAACGCACTGAGAAGGTCACAGGTGAAATTAACCTGGGATTCCTAATATCAATGCTGCAGATGAATTAATTAACGATGACTGTCTTCAGAAAAGCCAAGAAAGACAGAACATCTAGCAGCTATAAAATATTTTGAAATACCAACTTCTTTAATAAACAGTTGAGAAAAGCGAAGGAAGACAGAACATCTGGCAGCCATACAATTTTGCGATATACCAAATGCTTTGATAAGCAGTTGTGAAAAGCGAAGGAAGACAGAAGATCTGTCAACCGTAAAATATTGCGATACGTTATATTCTTTGAGAAATGAGGTATCGGGGAAGGTCGTGAAGAACTCGAATGGTGTAAGAGCTCCGCATGGAGCACAAAGAAAGACTTAAGATCGTCGAAAGCGGTTTTATTTTAGTGGAAGTTTGGTATTTTTTTTTTTTTTTCTGAAGTGAGTTCCTTGTGTCCCAATATCGTTTTATTGTTGTGAATTCTGTTGAATGTTTTGCTGCGTTGTTAAATCTACTGTAACGGCGACGGAACCTAGCAGTACTGACATCTTCAGCCCCCCCCCCCACCCCCCATCAAAAAAAAAGTTATATAAGAGAGGATAGGGCTAAGATCCCCCCCCCCCACTCGTGGTTGAGGAGCCTCTCCATCCCTTCCCGACCACCATGTATAGACGGTATTTTCCATTGAATCAACTGTTTCTAAAATGGATGTTATTTCAAATATAATTTTTTTTCAAATATTCCCTTAGTTATTCGATGAATTATTGTCATTACACACCTAAGCAATTAGTCCATAAGCGCTCAGGTCCCCACCTCAGTAAATCCCGCAGCATGTAGAGACTGACGACACTAGTTCTGTGTTAGTTTCGTATTCTTCTTTCTAATTTCACTGCACGCCATTTGAGTACCAGTCTCGTAGATTCTCTCATCGTTCGTTCTCAGTATGTTTCCAATAAATCACCGTCTTGCATTTTTTTTTAACTGTGATACTATTCTATTATTACATATTATGTCAGTCGTTTTTTGCTGCATGCCAGTTTTTATAATAATGAGGAAGAACACGACAGGATTTGCTTGTGGGCTACGTTTTTATTGTTGCAAAGAAACATGCTGTGCATACATTTGCCATTCAGAGTAAACGAAAAACACGATGCACAGGGACCAACAACAACGACAACCTTGAAAACAAAACATTGAATTATGCACAGTAAAAGTAATACATATATATTTTAAACTGTGGATGAGAAAAAGTAAATATGAGAAAGTTTTGAAAGCTGGTAAGATAGATGGCAGAAGAGGAGATGGCATAAGTGGAGATGATAGAAGAGGAGATGACAGAAGAGGAGATGGCAGAAGATGAGATTAAAGAAGAGGAGATTTCAGAAGATGAGATTACAGAAGAGGAGATTTCAGAAGATGAGAATACAGAAGAGGAGATGGCAGAAGAATAGATGACAGACTGTCGTTGGAAATCATAATAACTGAAGCCCAATAACATTGTTTTAATTCTCCTAATTTAAAAAAAAAAAAATTATAATAATTATAGAACTCGAGATTCTTGCATTTTTACGAACCGTTTTTTTTTTCGGACCACGTTATTCATGTTTAAAATCCTCAGGTATTACATTCAAGTAAAATACTGCAAAAGTGAGAGGACTGTGATTCAAATAATGTGTATAATTTTTCAGTTGATTCGTTCAAATTACAGTTTGAACAATTTAGGGACATTCAAAGTTACATTTTACGCATAGACGTAGTTACACCTTAAAGGGGCCAAGAAAAAATAACTCAAAGAGAAGCAGTAATGTAATTCGATTCCAATAGGGTAAGTGTATATACGTGTGTGAACCTCGTAATGTAACCAGAGCTGGAGAAACTAACCCACCCCATATTGCAACAAAACATTCTAAACATGATATAAGCAGGTGATGCATAACTAATCAGTTTGATCAGCTCACAACTCTACAGATTCGGGTCTGGCTGTAACGTATTCAGTTTTGGAGAAGAAAAAAAAAAGTACCAACTTTCGTTCTAGGGTGATTGTTTCCTTTCTAGACGGCAAAAGCATGGCGCGGGAGATGAAAGTCTTAAAGTTTCCAGGAGATGCTTTGACTTTTTCCCCATCGAGTATTCAATGTTAGAACAAGATTCACCACAGCAAGGACAATGATCTACTCCTCCTTCGCTTGCTGGATGTGAGCATTGGAAAATTTGGCACTGGTCAGCGGAACAAAATTACACTTATAATAAATAATTAGAAAAAAAACAGCCCGAGAACAATTGAGGCTTTAGAAATATTCTATAAAATAAATAAACAGACAATTTCTTGGGCACCTATAGAAGGAAGCAGCAAGATAAAAAAAAAAACACACTTGAAAGCATAAAAATCGACAGCTATAGTTACCGTGCAGGGAATCTAACCTATCAACTCCAAATGAGGAATGTACCTTGTTATGAAAGGCACACGCCCCACCCGCCCCCCCCCTTTTTGGTGGTTCTATCCCACCCAAGACCCTTTCTCCCCCCCCCCCCCCCCCACGCCCCCCCCCCCCAACAAAATAATATTACTTTGAGGCGCTTACGTGAACTAGTAGGTGGCATTAGGAGATCCCCGAAAAAGAAAGAAAAAACCACCATATAATATAAACATTCACCAGATAAGAAGTTACAGACTGAAACTAGGAACACCCTGAAGCAACAAGCAGGAGGGTACACAGACAAACCTGACCAGTAAACAGCCCCTAAACAAACTGCAGACGTCCTTTTGTGGAAAAAGTTCAACGAGATGTATGTAGTCTAGATACATAATCCATTTTCTTTTCAAGAGTGAACTTTTGAGTGCTCCGTGTCATCCACAAATGAAGAGTAGTTTTTGTAGTTCTTGTGTAACCTTTGTATAAGTCAGGATATCAAGAACACTCACCAGACTCACGTTTATGTCCTTAAACAAATTGAATATTCCTTGATGTGTGGTATGATATGTTGGATGGAAGCTGCACTGTAAATAGGGGTTTCTAAACTTATAGTGTTAAGACCATGTTTGACACCGTCGAGTTGTCGGAGTGCTGTTGTTCATTCTTGTTGCTGAATTGTGATGAATATTAAATTGGGTGCACTCGAGTGCAGGTCATCTAAGA